TCGAATTCGATTATTTTCAATATAGAGTTATAATGACACTTGCACTTATCTACCTGTTGGATACTAATAATTGCAATCGTTATGTAATTATGATATGTTCAAATGCTTCCAAATAAAAAAAGTGAAAATGTTCATTATGATATTAGTATCTAATGTCAAATAAAATACTAATTCTGAGCAAATCATAGATAAGGAGCAGATGATATCCCATATAATTCTTAGTTCATGTTATGATGCTTCGTAGCTTTTTATCAAAATATTCTATTTTTACAATATGTTGTCTATTTTTGCAATGAGATTATCATCATTAATTTATCATATTTTTATCAAAAAAAAAAAAACTCTTATGATTGTTTATAATTATGAAATGATTAATATGTTTCTAGAAACAATTATCAACAAACTATTCTATCAACTAATATAACATAAACTTGACTTAATATATTCTACAATAATTTTAAATTAGTTTTTGCGTCGTTTAGTATTAATTGACTATATTTAATCTTGTAATTAAACTTTGTAATGGAAACATGCAATCAGAATAAGTTCACAATACACAATGAATTTTAATGTATTTTGGATGCATCGTGCGCTCGAAATCTAAGTTTCACAGCAGCTTAATCTGAGTATATATGATTTATTACAATAATTAATATCACAGTAATTATTCTATTATGCTATATCCAAATTAAATATTAATGAGTTTAATACAGCGTACTTATTTTATGTGCAACGCTTTGAATATTTTATGAAATTCGTAGTTGTCTTTGAGCTTTTTTAATTGTAAAATTATACTTATATAAATCATTATAGGAAAGTGAATAATATGCATTAATATATAAAACCATAAATAATCATTACAAACAATGACTTTTACAATATTAAACACGTAGCTTATCTATAGTAAAATTGTACTACAGTTAATTTTTTTACAACATATTTTACAGCAACAAAAGCAGAAAGAATTCGCCCGAGGTCTTTAGATGTTATTTACAAATAGTAGTGAATAATTTATATAGTAGAAACCAAGATGATCAATTTAAAATGCTAAATAAATAATTCCTTAACGTTTAACAAAAAGTTCCTTAACTTTGTGGGTTGTATTTTTGGAAAACAATTATAATCACAACTATTTGCAAGTTGCCTTTTACAAATATGCCAGCAAAACTATATTCAATATACAAATGTTAATTTGTAAAGGATATCAAAAGTGCATTTACACGTAACAAATTTTCTATGGAGAATTGATCAAAGATACTACACGGCAAAAGGTATTGGATAGTACGCAATGATGCTACAAGTCAAGGCAAATTTCCATTTTTTGTTAATTAATTTAATATTAGTATTTCTTTTAAATTCATATAAGTAGAATACATTATTATTAATTTCATTACTTTAGTTTTTCAATATTGTGCTTATGTTGTTATTCATAATACTTACTATTATGTTGTTACTCATAATACTATTATCAATTTTGGGTATTTATGCATATTGACAAATTATTTAAAAATATTTTTTTTTGTACTTACTGTAAATGATTGTAAAATTGTTTATCCATACAATTTTTTATATGATAATTTATATTATTTTTTCAATTTTTCTGAATTTAATTAAATAATTTTAATATTTAATTTCTTATTACCTCTCTCTTTGACATATGTTGGCAACAACAGAAACACAATTTTTTTTGCCAGACGTAATGCAAGAGTAGATTCTTTTTATTTTGTGAACTGTGATCGTAAATAACAATTTAAATGCATAACGGGTATTCTTGGCAGTGCGCGACAGAGCTTTCCACATCGAAATTTTATAAATGAGAAAATAGATATATTTTTAGCATTGTTCTGCTATTCACGATCGTATAATTTTATATTTGCACTATATTGATATTTGCGAGTATTTCTATGCATTTGCATGCAAATAGTTCTTGGAATAAGGCTAATATTAATACTGATGTATATTGCTGCTACGTGTACTGTGTTTTCATATAAGCTCCTTTGTTATTTTGCAATATAACTTGGAAGAAATGTTACTGTATTTTCTGAAACTGCAGTTCCTTTGATTGTCGGAAGTTATTGTCATCAAAATGCGATATGAATAATTTGTTTTTATTTAATGTATTTGTTTATTCGTATATTAAACTGGCAATGTAATATTCTAGCAATAAGTTAATAATATTCTATCAATAAATAAATTTTATATTTTTAGTCCACCAAGAACCTGTGTCGACTCAAATGTAATTTACTAGTAAATCTTTACTATATCATTTTTGTTTGTAATCATATGTGAATTATAACACCAAATTCATAAATATTTATAGAACGAAAGCACGTTTCTATCGACTAAATATATAATATGCATCTACCTCAAATTGGTTAGTGAATGCATTTGCATCAGTACATTATTTATACTCTCCTCGCTGAATTAGAGCATTGCACTCGTTTCAAATGGAGAGCTCTTTTAAATATTTTATAAAGAGGTTTATTTAGTTTAAATTTTCTGCTCAAATTGAGGTGGAGAACGAATGTTTCAATATTTACTATATTACTCATTTCTAGATAATAGATATTAATACTTCCCATGATAAAAATCTTTGAAAATTTTATATATTTTGGTTCAATTTTTTTTCGTGAAATTAAGCTTATAACATTTTACCAATTCAGCGGTTGTTGGGCTATTTTTTTATAAATATAGATATGCTTATAGTGGTATATTATTAATATATCCATGCTTCAATTTCCATAAATTTTATTGGACCATATTTTATCTTTAACCAGGCAACTATAATAAATGTCGCTTTAGCTGTAGTATAATAGTTAATGAGATTTATATTTAGAAATTATTCCAGTGTTTCTATGTAGCTTGTTTTATAATATATAATTACGAAATACGCTTTTCGAATAAATATTCGAAATTACACATATTTTATACAGATATCATTTTTATCATATCATTATGATATTGCATATCATTTTCATCATAAAAGTTTTTGTGTCAAAATTGAAGTACATACATGAATTGAACCTAAATTAAATAATAAAAAAAAATTGATTGATATATCACGTCTTTTTCGATTATCTTTTACATTCAAAAATCCCTTCGTACAAATCAAAAATAAACTTTTTTTCTAGTATGAAATCGTATTTTGGCAAGACAAGAGCATTCAAAAAAATATAATTGTCATTGATCTTGAAAAAGCTGTTTATATTTTTTAAATGAACATACTTGAATTGGTGTTACGCCATGGAGTTTCCTGCGCTATACAACCTGATATCGTGCAGCAGCGATGTCCATTTTCATTCAAAATTATAGATCAGAAATATGTTTCCGATTGAAAATAGCCTATTTCGGCCAATATTAAATTTTTCACATGATTCTTCTTTGAATCGAGTTGGAGTTTATCTCATCTCACGGACCTGTCTGAGGGCAGTACTATCTATTATCATACCAGAATTGCGAATTTAAAAAATAAGTAATATAGTGATGATTAAAACATTCATTCTCCATTTCAATTTGCTAAAAATTGACTCTAAATATATCTCTTGATAAAATATCTAAAAGAGCTCTTCGTTTGAAACGTATGCAAGGCTCTAATTCAGCGAGGAGGGTATAAATAATGTACTGATGCAAATGCATTCACTAACCAATTTGAGGTAGATGC